AGCAAGGTCCTCCCCTCCCTTTCACCCCCTTCCCCTGCAGTACAGCAAGACCCTGGCGGGCTGGAGCAGCCCCTCCACTTGTAAACTGGCTGGACCCCAGCTGCACAGTTAAACAATTACAATTATGTTGCTTAATAGGTTAACTACGTTAATGGATATTTACATCCCTAACTGAAATCATTGGCTCAATCAAGACACTGGATTTATGGCTTATTACAACAATCTAACCCACTAATTACTTCCCAGCTGCTTCCCCCTTTCCCCCTGCTCCCTTTCCTCCCTGTGACTGGAGGGGTGTTAACAAGCAACTTCACACTGAATAGTCCCTTGAAATACATGTTAACTACTTATGCTTCCAGCTCATCTGAGGAAGTGGGTTTTGCCCAGGTGCCACAGGAATACTTGTTGTTTTTGCAGTAACATAGCTACCCCGTGAGACTACTTATGCTTAGCAGTCTGCTCCACCTTGTATTTAGCTGTGATGCTCTAAGTTTCCCAGCCTGGAAGAAGAGCTCAGTAAAGCTTCAAAACTTGTGTGTATCTCAACAGAAGTAGAGCCAATAAGAGATTACCTCTCCCATCTTGTGTCTCTAATCCCCTGGGAGCCGTGTGGCTATAACAGTGCTGCATACAACACAAGTAGATCTAAGTAATGGTATACTGCACTTTGATGGCAATGGGAGCAAATACAAAATGCTACACTTGTATGTCTGAGATTGGAGAAGAGAATTGCCTGCCATATGCTACATGGGAGAGCTGACTTGCGGCCCTGGGCTTGCAGGGGTCTGAGCAGTGGCACAGAGATGACTTTGGGTGGTTTGACCTGCAGAGGTGGGTTTTTTTCATTGAGCCCCTACTCTTTGGCATGCCTTTATAAAGGTCAGGGTTTCTGATTGCTTTTTTCCTTCAAGTTGCCAAGTTTGGGCTGGCTCCTGGCAGATGTTGGGAGCACAGTCAGGCTCCCTTCGCATTTCATGAACTGGGATGGGGCAGAACACATGAGCTGGGTTAAATTAAATTAACTGGGGGTGGCAGGGTTGGGTGGAAAAAAACAGCACCATTTATAGGCAGAAACTAAAGAGGAAACTCCATGGGGGGAGGGGGTATTCGAAGATGTGACCCTTAATTTCTGTTGATTAAGAATATAAGAATGGCCAAACTGGGTCAGTCCAAAGGTCCATCTAGCCCAGTGTCCTGTCTGCCAACAGTGGCCAATGCCAGGTGCCCCAGAGGGAATGAGCACAACAGGGAATCATCAAGCGATCCCACCCCTGTCAAATATTCCCAGCCTCTGACAATCAGAGGCTAGGGACACCATTCCTGCCCATCCTGGCTAATAGCCATTGATAGATCTAACCTCCAGGAATTTATCAAGTTCTTTTCTGATCTCTGTTCAAGTCCTGCCCTTCACAACATCCTCCGGCAAGCCGTTCCACAGGCTGAATGTGTGGAAAAGAAACTAGAGGATTGCAAGTGTTAGGCACCTAACACCATGTATATCTGAATATCTCCCCCTTTGTGAGTGAAAGCTAAAGAAAGGAAGCTAGGCTCTGCTTTGGGATGCTAGGTTCAGTCTTCCTCCTGCAATCACAAGGGTAGGTAGCCAAAAAGAAAAGGAACTTTGAGCCCTGTTTTACCAGGTATGCTATTGATTGGTTGGTTGGAGGGCACGTGGTTTGACTAGGGTGGGAGAGACAGGCTGCGTAAATGGGCAGCTGGACACACACCACTGCACAGAACTGGGATTTCTGTGTTGGCTGGGGAGAAACCGCACTCTATGTGGATTCTACAACTGAGGAATCATAGCGCATGCGAGATTCTGGATATTGATTCAGAGATTCAAAGGCCAAAAGGGACCATTGTGGTGATCTAGCGCCTGACCTGATGAACAACAAAGGCCAGAAAACTTCCCCAAAATAATTCCTGGAGCTGAACTTGCAGGAAACCATGCAATCTTGACTTGAAAATTGTCAGTGATGGAGAGTCTACCACAACCCTTGTAAATAGTTCCAGTGGTTAATTATGCTGTTAAAAATCTGTGGTTTATTTCCAGTCTGAATTTATCTCCATTCAGCTTCCAGCCCATGGATCGTGTTCTGTCTTTTCCAGCTAGACTGAAGGGCCCATTATTAAATCTTTGTTCCCTGTGTCAATAGTCTTATCAGACACGGAGATTGACCAAACCAGTTTGCGGCAGCCAGGGGTCAGCATTCTCGTTGTGCGCCCCAGGGTTACCCGGCTGCTGATGATCCAGACAATGGACTGCATTCAAAGTCCTTTCTAGGGCTGAATCTCCGTTTCTTGCCAGTCGTCCTTCCTGATGTAGAGACGGGCTCAAGTTACCCCTTACCTAGCTCTTTGCTAAGAGCCTTGCGTCCATCCCTGGAAGGCAGGTTTTCGTCAAGTTACCCCTTACCTAGCTCTTTGCTAAGCTCCTTGCGTCCATCCCTGGAAGGCAGATTTTCGAAACCCTGTAATGATTCTAGCGGCTCTTCTCTGAAGTCTCAGCAATGTATCAGTATCCTTGCTGAGCTGTGGGCACTGGGCCTGGGCACCACATCCCTGCAGGTACAGCCCATTACCACGTGGGGGCGGGGAGGGGTCCTCTCTGAACAACTCCAATGGGGGATGCCAGCTACAGTGTTCAGTTCTGGGCACTTGGTTATCGCGAAACTGGCAATAAATATATTGGGGCTGAGGGGTCAGAATAGGGCAGGAACAACACCCAGGAATGGGGGGAGGGTTACAAAACCTTTGCAGCTTGGTTAAGTGATGGATTGGGGGGGGCGCAGAACTGTTATCCAGAGCCATGGCTCCTTGCAAACTTAGTGTTGGTAGAAGGTCTAGCTCGGACAAATGGAAAGTGATCGAAGGAGGGTAAGTCTCCAGAAAGGTACCACTGTGGAGACATTCGTAGGAGTGGTGTTCCCTGGTGGGATGGGGGTTGCTCTCCCTGGACTGGTGCGGACACTAGAAAACAGCTCAGAGAACACTCCTGCACCTGATCCCAACACTCCCAGGATCGTAGAAAAGGGAAGGGACCTTAGGAAGGCACCTATTCCATTTCCTAAGGCATGTCCCTCCCACGCTTCCAGGGACCGGAGTCTAGAAATGATGCATCAAGTCTGCTCCTGCCCAACTGCTCTTGTTGGCTGTGGTAGCCTTGATTTTATTGGGAGCAGCAGCAGGCCCTGAGATCCATGTAATAGCTTTAAATGGCTCCTTTCTCAAAGGAATTGTCTTCCTGATCTCATGCCCCTGGCCTGGCCTGGATTTACACTCACCCTGATATTGTCTGGGTACAAGAACAAGCATGCCCTTGATGAGTTAAGATAATTATCTTCAAGCATATGAAATGGCTGCTAATGCATAATTAACCTGTGGCCCTTGCTGCTGTGGGGTGTCAATAAAGTGAATCGCTTTCTAAGAGTTTTGAAAGGCCCATAGCATTTGTTGTAACAGTAACTGGGATAAAATGCTGAGCTACGGGCTCTGATGCTTTAAGGGTTATGAGCAGTAGAAGGAAATTGCCCCCCATTGATTGCACTGCTTCCTCAAAGGCCTCAGGCCGCCTCAGGTTCAGGTCTCCTCTAAGTTGAGCCTGGCCAGCAGACTGCCGAGGAAAGCCCAGATGCTGCAGTAGGGGGCAGTCTTTCCTATGGGGGCTGAATCCGTGCCGCAGAAATTAGGGATCTCAACGTGTAGTCGACTATAAGATTAACCAATAAGCCTGTTTATTGGTTAATTTTATTGACTACATGCATTGCCCCCACCCACTGCCTCTGTGTCTGAGGCAGTGGGGGGGGAGTGGGAGCTGGTGCCGTGGAGAGCCAGGTTTTAGTAGGTGCTGTTGCTGCCTCAGTTCATGCGAGTCGCCTCCTTCACCCCCCACACTGCTGCCTCTGTCAGAAAGAGTAGTGGAGGCAGAGGGCAGAGGAGCCTGCCATGGAGCAGCCTCTGTCCCCAGGGAACTTGGGTCCCTGCAGACCAAAGCTGCTGCCCTACTGCCCCATGCTGCAGCCTCTAATACAGAGGCCACAGGGCAGGGTGGCTGGGGATTCCCCAGGAGTGGGGCTAGGAGTGCACTGGCCCCGCCCCTGGGGACCATCAAATAGCCATGTAACTGACAATATTTTGTGTGGTTACACAGTTATTCAAGTAATTACTTTCTAATATCCCTACCAGAAATATGGCCAGGCGTGCTGTTCCTCTGGGGTCAGGTATGAAACCTGTCCTGGCTGCTCATGGTCCGAAAAGGAGCATTTACCCTTGTGCTCTAGCCAGATTCCAGTCTGCCTTTGGAAGTTCTCCCTCCTTTCATTTGGATACAGCTTTTTTCACTTCCTGTCCTAAACTTTTGGCCTCTTTGTGACCCCAAGCGAGTCCCGTTTGCCCACTGACACAAACGCCACTCCCATGCGGCGCCAGAGCCCACGCAGCTGTGGAGATTGAGCTGTGCTCCGCTGTGCCACCTGCCTTGGCAGGTCTCTTTTCCACAGCGGAAAGAGTTAGGGTTAGGTGGGGGCAGTGAGGCAAATTCTTTCTTTGTCGTGAACTCTTTTGTCATCTGAAACGTATGGCAGGAGCTTTGCAGGTGTGTATGCGAGCTGGAGTCCTCTCCCCAGCCATTGACAGCCTAAATCAGATTTAGGATGAAGAAGACACAAAGATGCCGAGGAACCAGGAGGTCCCTGTTACGGGGTATTTCTCAGCCCCGTGGCATTTCTTCCCTTTGGCTTCTGAGAGTGAGTGTTCTGGTGAAACTCAGCCTGGGCAGGAGAGAATGATCCCTCCCAGGGATTGTTCTGTGTTTGGTGTTGAATCTCTGGGGGAGCACGGGCTGCTTTCCAGCAGATGAGAGCCACTGGGCAGGGCCAACCTCTGGCCTGCTGGAGTCTCTCCCTTGAGAGACGTGCCCCTCTGGCTTCATGGGCTCGTCGCGGAAAGGCTGACCGATCGCTTGTGTGCCCTAGGACTCTGAATTCAGCAATGCCGACCAGATGGATCTGTACGACGACGTGCTAGCGGCGAGCTCGCAGCCAGCTGAAAGCTGCACCAGCAGCTCGGAGGCACAGTCTGAGATGCGCCAGGAGCAGTCAGCCAAGCCAAACAGCAAACCGCCCGCCATCCTGTACACCTACAGTGGGCTGCGCAACAAACGGGCAGCGGTGTACGTGGGCAGCTTTTCCTGGGTGAGTGGGGTCACTGGTGCCCACTGGGAGCACCTGGCTTAGTTGGACAGCCTTTGCTTCCTGGGGACAGACACAGGGAATTGCCGTCTGGGCTGCAGTCTTAGCTATCCAGTGAAGTGAAATCTAGCTTGGTTTGCACATGGCTGGGGAAACCCAGGTTCTGCAGAAAGGGGCATGGGGTGCTCTGTCAGCTCTGAACCATCCAGGGACTGCAAGTGCCAGTTACTGAGGGGTGGTAGAATAGAGACCTGGACCACCTGTGCTCAGTGGTGATCTCAAGGCATAGTCTGCATGGGGCGGGGGAGAGTGATGGCTTTGGGCCAGCTGGCGTGCTCTTGTGGCTGTGGGCTGGCTTAGCTGACATGAGGTGTGGGCTCTCTGAAGAACAGGGGTCCCCACCGCATGAGTCACTAATGCTAGTGGGACTAGTTGTCCCTGAGTGGGCCTGGGAACTGAACTCTGGGCCAACAGCTCCCGTGATCCTTCTTCCTCCAGGCGTGTTGGTTGGATTGGCACATGGTGCTCAAACTCGGCTTGTACACAGAGCCCTTGAATCCCCACAGCTCTCCACTCTGCCTTTTCCCAGGACTTAAGACTTTTGTGTACAGCTGCCTCCCTGGGGATTGGTGTCTCCTAGACAGGGTTACGGGGCTGGTTGTATCCCCTCCCTGCTGAAAGCATTTGTGGCCTCAGAAACTGGAGCCGCCAGGTTTTAAAAAGTGCTGTTGCTGCCTCAGTTCATGCGAGTCGCCTCCTTCACCCCCCACACTGCTGCCTCTGTCAGAAAGAGTAGTGGAGGCAGAGGGCAGAGGAGCCTGCCATGGAGCAGCCTCTGTCCCCAGGGAACTTGGGTCCCTGCAGACCGAAGCTGCTGCCCTACTGCGCTGCTGCTTCTGTATCAAAGGCAGCAGCGTGGGGCAGCAAGCGGGAGCTGCTCTGTGCTGGGAACTGGTTTTTAAACCAGCTCGCCTTGTGGACAGGCTCCCACCTGTCCACCCCATGCTGCAGCCTCTAATACAGAGGCCACAGGGCAGGGTGGCTGGGGATTCCCCAGGAGTGGGGCTAGGAGTGCACTGGCCCCGCCCCTGGGGACCATCAAATAGCCATGTAACTGACAATATTTTGTGTGGTTACACAGTTATTCAAGTAATTACTTTCTAATATCCCTACCAGAAATATGGCCAGGCGTGCTGTTCCTCTGGGGTCAGGTATGAAACCTGTCCTGGCTGCTCATGGTCCGAAAAGGAGCATTTACCCTTGTGCTCTAGCCAGATTCCAGTCTGCCTTTGGAAGTTCTCCCTCCTTTCATTTGGATACAGCTTTTTTCACTTCCTGTCCTAAACTTTTGGCCTCTTTGTGACCCCAAGCGAGTCCCGTTTGCCCACTGACACAAACGCCACTCCCATGCGGCGCCAGAGCCCACGCAGCTGTGGGGATTGAGCTGTGCTCCGCTGTGCCACCTGCCTTGGCAGGTCTCTTTTCCACAGCGGGGGAAGCGGAGCTAGTGGGAGCCAGTCTGAGGGACTCTGGGAGAGGTGGGAGCAGTGAGGCAAATTCTTTCTTTGTCGTGAACTCTTTTGTCATCTGAAACGTATGGCAGGAGCTTTGCAGGTGTGTATGCGAGCTGGAGTCCTCTCCCCAGCCATTGACAGCCTAAATCAGATTTAGGATGAAGAAGACACAAAGATGCCGAGGAACCAGGAGGTCCCTGTTACGGGGTATTTCTCAGCCCCGTGGCATTTCTTCCCTTTGGCTTCTGAGAGTGAGTGTTCTGGTGAAACTCAGCCTGGGCAGGAGAGAATGATCCCTCCCAGGGATTGTTCTGTGTTTGGTGTTGAATCTCTGGGGGAGCACGGGCTGCTTTCCAGCAGATGAGAGCCACTGGGCAGGGCCAACCTCTGGCCTGCTGGAGTCTCTCCCTTGAGAGACGTGCCCCTCTGGCTTCATGGGCTCGTCGCGGAAAGGCTGACCGATCGCTTGTGTGCCCTAGGACTCTGAATTCAGCAATGCCGACCAGATGGATCTGTACGACGACGTGCTAGCGGCGAGCTCGCAGCCAGCTGAAAGCTGCACCAGCAGCTCGGAGGCACAGTCTGAGATGCGCCAGGAGCAGTCAGCCAAGCCAAACAGCAAACCGCCCGCCATCCTGTACACCTACAGTGGGCTGCGCAACAAACGGGCAGCGGTGTACGTGGGCAGCTTTTCCTGGGTGAGTGGGGTCACTGGTGCCCACTGGGAGCACCTGGCTTAGTTGGACAGCCTTTGCTTCCTGGGGACAGACACAGGGAATTGCCGTCTGGGCTGCAGTCTTAGCTATCCAGTGAAGTGAAATCTAGCTTGGTTTGCACATGGCTGGGGAAACCCAGGTTCTGCAGAAAGGGGCATGGGGTGCTCTGTCAGCTCTGAACCATCCAGGGACTGCAAGTGCCAGTTACTGAGGGGTGGTAGAATAGAGACCTGGACCACCTGTGCTCAGTGGTGATCTCAAGGCATAGTCTGCATGGGGCGGGGGAGAGTGATGGCTTTGGGCCAGCTGGCGTGCTCTTGTGGCTGTGGGCTGGCTTAGCTGACATGAGGTGTGGGCTCTCTGAAGAACAGGGGTCCCCACCGCATGAGTCACTAATGCTAGTGGGACTAGTTGTCCCTGAGTGGGCCTGGGAACTGAACTCTGGGCCAACAGCTCCCGTGATCCTTCTTCCTCCAGGCGTGTTGGTTGGATTGGCACATGGTGCTCAAACTCGGCTTGTACACAGAGCCCTTGAATCCCCACAGCTCTCCACTCTGCCTTTTCCCAGGACTTAAGACTTTTGTGTACAGCTGCCTCCCTGGGGATTGGTGTCTCCTAGACAGGGTTACGGGGCTGGTTGTATCCCCTCCCTGCTGAAAGCATTTGTGGCCTCAGAAACTGGAGCCTGTGCTAAAGATCCTAGGGGGAGATTGAGCAGGGGGGGAGGGGGGCGCTCGGTGGAGATGAATGATCGATCATGCTAGTCCTGGAACAGGGATATGCAGCCCAGAGATCTTGCCATTGGGCCTCAGCTGTTCTCTTCCACTTGTTCTCAGTGGACAACTGACCAGCAGCTGATCCAGATTATTCGCTCAGTTGGGGTCCGCGATGTGGTGGAGCTGAAATTCGCAGAGAACCGAGCCAATGGCCAATCCAAAGGGTGAGCGCTCTTGAGGGGATCCAGAGGGAGAATTCCCAGGGTCTTCTGGCGGTGGGCCACTCTAAACGTGAACGCTGTTGGAGGAGACCCGGCACCTTTTCTCATATGGTCCTGTCGCCAAAGGCGACCTGCCTGTTCCCTGTGGGCAGGGAGGCCAGAGGCCTAGCTGGGGAGGAGAAGGGGGGCTTTGCAAGGTGCCCATATGATGGAGCTAGTGTGTTGAAGTACAGGGGTGGGAGAGCTGATGGGAAGCAGGTAGGAATAGGAATGCCCGTGCCCCTGCAGTGGTGGGCTGGGTGGAGTTGCAGACAGACAACCACAGTGAGAGGTGAGGGTTGCTGCTCTCTATTCTGCCTGGATCGTGGGGAGAGGGGTACATTGAGGCACCCATGGCTGCTTTCGGGGTGATCCTCACAGACTGTGGTGGGGGGAGGAGGGCGGGCTTAGTTGTACTGGCCTGCCATCATCTGCTTGTCTCTGGCTCCCCACAGGTATGCAGAGGTGGTAGTGGCCTCCGAGAACTCAGTCCACAAGCTCCTGGACCTGCTGCCTGGCAAGATCCTCAATGGGGATAAAGTGGACGTGAAACTGGCCACGCGGCAGAACCTGTCGCAGTTTGAGGCACAGGCCCGGAAACGTAAGTGGGGCAGGCCCGCTGCCAGGGCGGGGAGGGGCACAGGGTGCATGAGGAAGGGGAGACTCCAGTTGGGCCTGGCGATCCAGAGCAGAACTCTAGCGGACTGAACCCACCAGAACCCTGGGGTGGGGGCTGATTTCCCAGGAGTCTCTGCGTGTTTTTCCTGTTGCTGCCGAGTCTGACCCGATCCTGACCCGAGTCTTTATGATCCCATTTTAGGTGCTCATAGACTGCGAAGATCCCTCGTAGCCTCCTCCTCCTCCTCCTCCTCTCCAAACTGAATGGGCTTAAGCTCTTCAGCCTATCATCATAGCTAAGACCCTCCATATCTATTAATAGCTCTTCTCTGGACCTTCTCCAGAATTTGTACATCCCTGCGGAGGTAAGGTGCCCAACACTGGACGCAGTACTCCAGCTGGGGCCTCACCATGGGCCTTGTACAATGGCCTTTTTCCTCAGTCTGATGGCCCGCCCCGGCCCCGCCCCAGCTAGGGGGCGCTGTGCAGCCGGAGGGGCCATCTTTCTAGGGAGACACATGACAAAACTGTGACCACTTGTGGTCGTTGTTGATCCTGTGGCACGTTCTGTGAGAGAAGTACTGCCCCTCAGCGCCCTGGACAAATTCCCACTGGGTGACTGTCCTTCAGCCCTCACATGCCCCCAGACAGCTGCAGTGGAACCCCAAATTCTCCATTGCCCACCATGAATTGCCCAAAAGAAGTGCAGTGCTCTGTCAGACTGTGCCACCTTCTGGCGTGGAGGGGGCGGCATGTCAGCGGCAGGTGAGAGGTTCCTCTCTTCTGTCCCTTACCACAGGGCTATTGTGAGACTGTTGGCTTTGTCTGCACTGGGGAACTGCCCTGGCTGTAGCTGTTGGGGTCGCTGTGCTCGCCCTGATGACGCTGACCAATATCTGGCATTCATGGAGCTTCTACCTGGATAAAACCAGGCCAGCTCCTAGCAGTTCACCAGTGGCTGAGACAGGACTGCTCACCAGGGCAGGCAAGGCCCCAGGGAGTCTCCAGCCCTTTGATCCTGGGCTGAAAGAGGCTAGAGAAGGGAAAGTTTTCTTGGAATATGAATTTGCCTTGGCTTGTTCCCAGAACTCTTCAGACATAGCCTCAGGTCCTCTCCGTCCCCATGGCTGCGGATGAGCAACATCTCCGTGTCTCCTGCAGATCTAACCCCCTCAGGTTCCCTCGCTGTCAGCCTCTGGTTACTTGCCCTCCAGGGCAGGGTGGCCCTGGGAGCTTTGGATCCAGACCGTGTCTCTAAGTTTGTTCACATGATAATCTCATCAGCCCTTTCTGGATCCGCCCCCCTAGGGGATTACAGACTCTCTGGGTCAGGCTCACCTAAAGTTTTGGCAGGATTTCACTCTCTCTGCCGCTGTGCAGGCCCAAACCAGCTGTATTAACCAGCTAACAGGCAAGCTCTGACTCGCGCAGTGTCCAGGGACCTCTTGACTGCGACCTCTTGCCATTGGTTATGGCTTTTGGCTTCTGCCCAGGCAGCCAGTTTGCTTTGCAACTTCCATGCCCTGTGCTTGCCATGGAAGCTTTCCTGCTGTCTTGGTGGAGAGCTGTCACGCCCTTGCTGAGGCCTGTGGAAGTGGAGGCTACGTTTGGCTGGCTGGATCTTTCTCTCGGCACCTCAGGCTCCGCTGAAATCAGGCGTGTGACCGTGGGCGAGGGGTGTCCCGATCTCAGGGTGTGGAGGCTGATACAGAGCTGAGGGGGTGACATGTCCCACCCTCGGTCACTTGGTTGCACGTGTGGGGTTGGGAGGCCTGCCGCAGTTAGCTTTCGTCAGGTGGCTTTCCCCTGGGAGCGGTCGGCCCCATGCTCACAATCTGTTCCTCTTCTCTGCTGGCCGACAGGGGTGCCGCCGAGGGCTCACTCCCGGGACTCGTCGGATTAGATGGACGGCCGAGACAGGCCGACGGAGCATGCTGAGCCGTTC